ATTGTAGAGTTTAAGCTTTTATGTAGATAGAATAAGCTTTGTATAAGAGTAAGCTTGTAAGTTAAAATAAAATAAATAAAAATCAGTCTTGATCGAAACCTAATCGTAAACATTACATTGGCGACGAGGAAAATATTGTTAAAAAAATTATTCAAAAAAAAAAATTAATTTATCGTTAAAAATTATTTAAATTAAAATTAAATTTTAATTAAATTTTTTTAAAAAAAAAAAGAAAAAAAATTTTTAAATCATCATATAAAATTATATGAAAAGCAGTTTGACTCGTGCAAAATAAATTATACAAAAAAATTATTTAAAAAAGAAAATTTTTGTTTTTGAAAAAAATGACACAAAATGAAAGTGTATGCTTCACAAGTACGACCATGTCAGGTGTGCGGGAGTTCAGACCGCAAGTGGACAGTTGGTGCGACTGGGTGGAGATCCTAGACTCCCATTTTGTTGAAATGGCTTGTCAGGACGACAAGATCAAGCGGTCGATCCTGTTAAAAAACATTGGAATGGAGGCTTATGGACTGCTGCGGGACATCTGTGATCCGGATCTGCCTGCAACCCAAACGTATGATAAATTGTGTACGCTTTTGGGAAGTCACTTTTCAAAGCCGATTATTATTTTTCGCGAGCGAAAAATATTTTTTGATGCTGTTCGTGAAAAAGGGCAAACAATTATGGAGTGGTTTGCACTTTTAAAAAAATTAGCAAGAAATTGTAAATTTGGGGCACAATTAAATTCGTTTGTTCTAAATAAATTCGTTACTGCTTTAGACGGTAGAACATTCGAAAGATTGTGTGAAGAAGATGAGACCTTGACAATTGAACGGGCATTAAAAATTGCAATAATTACGGAAGCAAAAAATGAAGCTTTCAAACAGCAACAAACCCATGATGTAGAGGTTAATGCCCTTTTTTAAAAGAAATTTGCATTTCAAAGGCGCAAACAGTGCGAGTACGAATAAAGCTTGCATGCATAACAAAAATGCAAACAGCGGCAGCAGCAGCGGCAGCGGCAGTAAAAAGCAACGGCAGAGCTGTAAACACTGTGGTTGGAGAAACCATGAAAGTAGTAGCTGCAAATTTAAAAATTGCAAATGCAATAATTGTGGACGTGTGGGCCATTTGGCCAATATTTGTTTAAAAAAGAAAACAATAAGTATTGTAAATAATAATGAATGCAAAAATTTTTCTAATTTAGTAAATAATTCTGATACTAATAATTTTTCAATTTTTAGTGTAGATGATAAGTGTCATCCAAAGTCACCACCTCCTTTCGTCATTGATGTAGAAGTGAACGGTGTTAAGCTCGCATTTGTGCTAGATTCTGGAGCAGCTTGTTCATTACTTTCGAAAGGCGATTTCCATAAACATTTTGGGAGAATCAAGCTAAAGAAATGCAACGATCAGTTTGTCACATACAGTGGTGATATTGTGGGGATTTTGGGTGAGTTTAGTGCTTCAATTAAGTGTCGTGGACAGTCGCACAAGTTGCGAATTGTGGTTAGTGATACGCTTAGCCGCCCTGTTTTTGGTAGGGATTTTATGTCACTTTTTGGGATGGAAATAAGCACACTGAGTCAGTTAGATGATAGAGTAGCGTTTCTAAAAAGTAGATTTTCTACAGTTTTTGCTGAAGGGTTAGGAACGTATAAGGTGCATAAGGTTAAACTTAGTCTTAAAGAGGATGCAAAACCTGTTTTTTGCAAGCCCAGGCCAGTGCCATTGGCTTGGCGTAAAGAAATCGAAAGACAGATTCAGGATTTGGTAAAAAAGGGTGTTTTAAAATTAATAGAGGATTCAGATTGGGGTACGCCGTTAGTACCAGTGTTAAAGTCTAATGGTGAATTACGTATTTGTGGCGACTATAAGTCGACCATCAATAAGCACCTGCTAGATGTGAGGTATCCGTTACCTAGGATTGAAGAACTATTTGCTTCCCTTAAAGGACAGTTCTTCACCAAACTTGATTTGTCAAATGCGTACAATCAGCTTGAATTGGTAGAAGAATCTCAACGGTTATGCGCATGGAGCACACATTTAGGTATTTTTAAGATAACCAGATTACCATTTGGTGTTAAGCCTGCCGCAGCCATTTTTCAGAAAACTATAGAAAACGCATTGCGTGGTATACCTAATGTTGTTAATTACCTGGACGATATTCTTATATCAGGAGATACTATTGAAGAGCATAGTAACTCCATTGAAAAAGTTTTGAAAAGATTAGAGAGCGTGGGTTTGCCTTTAAACGCTAATAAGTGTGTTTTCTTTCAAAAAACAATTTCCTATTTAGGTTTTGATATTGATAAAAATGGTTTGTAAAAAAACCAAGATAGGATTTCAGCAGTCGTTAATGCTCCAATACCGAACAATTTATCTGAAGTTCGTGCATTTATTGGATTAGTTAATTACTATTCCAAATTTATTCCTAAGTTTGCTGAGATTATGGAGCCGTTATATGCATTGTTAAGAAAGGGTGTTAAATTCAGGTGGACAAAATCATGTCATTATGCCTATGAAAATCTTAAAAAGGAAATTACATCCGATAGATTCCTAGCTTCTTTTGACCCCAGTAAACCTATTATTTTACAAACGGATGCGTCAAATGTCGCTATAGCCGGGACCTTGTCCCACAGTTTTCCTAATGGAACAATTAAACCGATCGCTTTCGTATCTCGAGCGCTTTCGACAGCTGAACGAAATTATAGTGCTATTCAAAAGGAAGCACTAGCCATAGTGTTTGCAGTAACTAAACTGCGACTCTATCTGCTTGGTAATAAGTTTGTTTTGCAAACTGATCATAAGCCGCTTTTGTCAATTTTTGGTGAAAATAAGGGACTACCAGTAATGGCAGCAGCTCGTATTCAGCGATGGGCTTTGACATTGTCTGGATTTGATTATACCATCGAGTATGTCAAGGGGTCAGAAAATTTTACAGACAATATTTCGCGTATACCTCAAGATTTGCTTCCTTCTGTAGATACAGAGGAAAATAGTTATATAAATTTTATAACCAAAAATAATGAGCTAAATTTAGATTTTAAGGTAATTGCAAAAGAGACTGCTCGCGACCCCTGTTTAGCGAAAGTAAAAGCCGCTATTGAAACTGGGAAGTTACATTTGTTAAAAGACAAAATATTTTCGCCTTTTCAAACTAAAAATTTAGAGCTTTCGATTGAGTGCGGATGTATATTATGGGGTTTTAGAAGTGTAATACCTTATACTTTGAAAAACCGTGTTTTAAAAGAGTTACATGCATCTCATTTAGGCATTGTAAAGACAAAAGCTTTGGCTAGGTCGTATGTTTGGTGGCCTAATATAGATAAGGATATAGTAAATCTTATAGATAGATGTATTCCATGTAAAAAGGTTCAGCCTAGTCCAAAGAAAAGCCCACTAATTCCGTGGGAAATGCCTAGCTCAGTATGGTCGCGCATTCACATTGATTTTGCCGGGCCAGTCAAGAATGTTTACTTTTTAGTCGTAGTTGATGCATACTCCAAATGGGTAGAAATTTTTAAAACAAAGCAGATAACAGCGGCATTCACGGTGGAGAAATTAGAAGAGCTATTTTGTAGGTATGGTTTAGTGGATGCCATAGTAAGTGATAATGGAACCCAATTTACAGCATGGGAATTCCAACAATTTTTAAAGGATAATGGCATCAAACAGATTCTTACACCTCCAGGGTTTCCAGCTACAAATGGGCAAGCCGAAAATTTTGTTAAAACTTTTAAAAAATCTCTTGAAGCAAGTTTAAGCTCTGGTGAAAAAGGAAGTTTAGACATAGTGCTTAAGAGATTTCTATTTGATTATCGTACTATGAAGCATTGTACAACAAGAGAGTCTC